CCATTATATAAAACAGTTTTTCATTAATACACACATAGAGAGAAAAGTACAATATTCTGTCATAAGTTAATTCATCTTCACGGAAATTAAGAGAAGAAAGATTACATATATATATACGAGGGTTCTTCAAAAAGTCTGTGGAAAAATAGAATTAAAAGATAATACAAATCCTTCCATAAACTTTTTGAAGACCCCTCATATATACACACACACACACAATTTATTTATCTATTTTATAATTCACATAGTAGCAATTACTTACAGAAAAGGCTGACTCATGTTATATTAAGCCAAATCAAGAAAATCAATTCTTATTATACCTTTACCAAAATATTAATGTCTCTCTTTTCCTCCAGAAGCTGATAAATTACATTAATTTTGTATAAAACATTTCATTAATAAAAGTGACAAGGAGAAATCAATTCTCCCATTTGAAGAACATTAATACTGTGACAACCTCAAAACTAATTACACTAAGTTTGTTAAACATTTTGAGGAACACAGAAGTAAAATGACAAGTTATTTCCATTACAAAGCTTATATTCTGATAAATACTTAAGACAAAAATAATTCAATTAATACTACAATATGACTAAAAGATATTAAAATCTTTTATAATATTGAGAGCTCTATCCAGCTACCACAGAAATGAGTAGAAATGACTTACGGTTGCATCGTTTTTGTACAAATCGTAATTTGCATGCTGTTCTGTAAGTTGATAGTCGTATGACATCAAAATTCTGAGCACCTGAAAAAGGGACAAATAAAAAATGTTCAACTGGATTTACCATTTAATTTCTAAACGCTAGAAAGTGACTCCATTCCACTGTGTTGCCACGGTATACAAAATGTCAATTGGGCCTTCTTCTGATAAAAATGGAGGGAGGACGGGTTAGGAAACACCTTCTGTATGCCTGCTACATGCCAGGCATTCTGCCAACAGTGTTGCCGACATTATCCCATCTTCTAGCCTAAGAAAACTCTGATGGAAGGAATAGTCGTGTCTTGAGTGAATGAACTACATGATTAGGAAAGGGGAGCAGGTGGTATAGCAGGAAAGATCCCAGCCAGGGTCAGGAAAGCTAAATTCCAGCCCCAGCCTGGCCGCCTGTGACCATGTTACTTACGTACGTCTTCTCAGCCTCAGTGTAAAATGAAGGAGCTAGACCAGCTGACCTCTAAGTCCCCGTCCAGGACTGTAGCAGCCTGTCTTCTTCTAAAACTGGCCACAACAGTATTTCCAGAGACGTATTTTATGTGTTTCTAGTACTTTGTCCCTCCCCATCAAGAAATAGAGATTATCTCCCTCCACTTGAATCTGAGCAGGACTTAGAACGTGACTGTGTATGAAACTAGATGATAAAAGATGGTACCGCTTGATGTTCTCTCAGGACACTTGCTTGCCCTTACAACACAGATGCCATGTTGTGAGGAAGCCCAGACTAGCTGACGTGGAGAGGCCACACAGACAGGCTCATATGCAGAGGAGCTGGATCCATCAGCTGACAAATAGCACCAACTGCCAAACATGTAAGTGAGCAAGCCTTCAAATGACTCAGGTCCGAAGCCTTTGATCTTCCAGCTGAGACCCAGACATCATGAAGCAAAGTCAAGAAGACGTCAGCACTGGATGCTGTTCTAAGTCTAGATCCACAAAATGCACAAACAAAATAAATTGTTGCTGGAGGGTAAGTGATACACAGCCACCAGTAACTAGAACAAAGCCTAAAATCACATGTCTAGAAATCAAACTTTGTTCTCATTTCCAAATTTGCTGTAAATGAAGTCTCCGTGAATTTTAAGGTCACTTTAGATAGCTCTGGCCCACAACATTAAGTTTTTTATTTCATCTATGTTGCCTTTACAAGATCTCACAGCAACTTTTGACTCAATAATGGGAAAGTGAATTGGCACAAATATTCTTCTAAAAATATTTACAAGCATCTCCCATTTCTGCTCATTTCACAGGATAGAAGGAAAAAAGGAAGAATTTTTAGATTTCCTGTTAAAGGAATGTTTATTGACTGAAAAGTGACAGGTTTCTCTTAGTCTCCCCCTTCGATCAAACTTTACCTTGATGTCAGGATTAAAATTATTTCCTCCATTACCTGGTTCTCACAAAATTTCTATCCTTCTATGTTATAAAGCCCTACTTTCTTTTTTAATATAAAAAGCTTTATTGAAACATAATTCACATACCACACAATTCACCCATTTAAAGTGTACAGTTCAGTGGTCCTTATTATATACACAGGAGTTGTGTAATCATCACCATAATCAATTTACAACATTTATCACAACAAAAGGAAATCTTTTCCTTTTAGCAGCCACTTTGCCCACTATCTAATTGGGTTGTTATAAGAGTTCTTTATATAGTAGATAGAAATCACAAGATATATGATTTACAAGCATTTTTTCCCATTCTGTGGATAGCCATTTCATTTTCTAGGTAGTGCTCATGGAAGCACAAAAGTTTATCATTGTGTTGAAGTCCAGTTTTTTTTCTATTTGTTCATTTGTCACTTGTCCTTTGGGTGTAATATCCAAGAAAGCTTTGCCTAATTCAAGGTCAAGAAGATTTATACCTATGTTGCTTCTAGGAGTTTTATAGTTTTAGCTCTTATATTTAGGTCTATAATACTTTTTTAAATTACTTGGTTTTTTATGACATGTATTGATTGTACATATTTATGGAATACAGAGTTATATTTCAATATATGTATACAATGTGTGATGATCAAATCAGGGTAATCAGCATAAGCATCATCACAAAAACTTATCATTTCTTAGTGATGACAGAATTTGAGCCATTCTGAGTTCATTTGTTGTATGGTGTGAGGTAGGGATCTAAGTTTGTTCTTTTGCATATAGATATACAGTTGTCCCAGCACTATTTGTTCAAAAGACTATTCTTTCCTCACTGAATAGTCTTGGCACTCTTGTTAAAAATTAACTGACCATAGATATATGTATTTAATTCCAGACTTTCAATTCTATCCCATTGATTATGTGCCTATCCCTATGCCAGATTATTGTAACTCTGTAGTAAGTTCTGATGATGGAAAGTGTGAGTCTTCCAACTTTGTTGTTCTTTTTCAAGATTGTTTTGGCTATTCTTGGTCCCTTAAGTTTATATATGAATTTTAGGATCAGCCCATCCATTTCTGCAAAGAAGCCAGTGGAATTTT